GATTTATATTTATCACTACAAACTCTTGAATGTGCTTGCATAAGCTTGCACAGTGCGCTTCTCAGAGATATACTTTGGCCTTGAGAGGGAATAATATATATTAATGACCAGGAACAGCTTTCTGCGACTGCGGTATCACGGGCCCAAATAAATATCCCAGCACCTATAGGCCCTGGCTATGCACGGAAGAAAACTGCGGCAAGGCTTAGCCCTGAACAAAGATTGGCTATTTCTGTGGTGTTGACAACGGCCCCTAGCGGCACTGCTAAACCCGAGGCGGACACATGTCTCCAGTTACGTCATATGCAAGTCGGCGGACGCGCGCACGCCTCCACTAGATCCCGTCTCCATCACAGTACAACAGGGTTTGGTGTGTGGCCAAGCCGAAAATGCGCCATAAGATAAGTCGTGCCTCGTGTGCTGTTGTACACTGAATACATCTTCCTCTTTTGTCTCTGCCTCGGAAAGCATCCTTGGCCATCCTGCAGCGGAAATCGGACGTGACCAGCGCAGAACTGGGCAAGCCTCACGAATATTAGTGGAGCTGCAACAATCCTGGCTTGACCGGAGCGCCTGATGCGAACGATTTTCCAAGCAACACCAACAACGACGAGATGGCGCAACAATTCCTTGCCGACCGCAATGGCTGGTTGTCCTTTAGGAGTAGCACGCCCCTGCTCTACATTACCGCTGAAGATGCCGAGTTCGATGTCCACACCATGAAGGCATGGCGCGACGAGGGCTTTGTCGTCGAATACATCCCCATGGGCAATGGCGGGAAGCAATATGTGCAGACCCTCCATAAGTTGGGCGAGAACATGAGTATTGGAGAGCGTTACGCTATCGTAGGTATACGACCCTTTCTTAGTCTTGCGCATTGGGAACGACCACTGGCTGTTAGCTGCAGTCCGAGAAAACATTCGCTGACGGTAAACTCTCAGCTTTTGGAGACGCAGCTGCTGTGTGCTTAGACATCTTTTCAGAGCCCAGAGCCGCGACCTCGAAACTCTGTTCCCTCATCGCTTATTACCCGACTTCGATACCCGACACACGACATCGCTTCACCTCCTCTTTTCGCGTCCTCGTACACCTTGCAGAGGGCGCATCCGGAAATGAGTGCACTGTGGGCGTGGTGCGCCGTCCAGAAGTCCTCGGCATCCAGGGCAAGCGGAAAACGGTGCAGAAGCGCGTCACGCCTGGCATTGGCGTTGGAGGTTTGCAGGACAAGATCTTGTATCCTTGCTTCACGTACGAAGGAGTAGACGCTGGATTCGCCGAACACGATTTGCCCGAATATGACGCCGTCGCTGATGCGCTTGCATGGAGCCGGAGTTTGAGCACAGTAAGAAAAGGCTTCAGCGCTGAAGTTGACTTGGAGCGAGTACTAGAACAGAACGAAGAGCGTGCGTCTTTCCTTCGGGCAACCTTCCCGTAGTAATAATCTAACAAACAAACAGAAAAGTTCCATGGCAAGGCAGTCGACAAGCTCTTAGAAACATATACTCGAAGCCCAAGGCCCTCTGTAAACTTTACCCCAACGATGACGGGCGGTATCGGTGTATCCGACCTCAAGCGCTTCTACCGTGACTACTTTCTGAGAAGCTGTCCTCCATCCCTCCACATGCGCCTCATTTCGCGCACTATAGGCGTCGACCGTATTGTCGACGAGATCTACTTTAATTTTAAACACACTTGCCAGATGCCCTGGATCCTACCGGGCGTCCCTCCTACAAACGAAAAGGTCGAAATCGTCGTCATAAGCATTGTTGGATTTCGCGCAGGCAAGATCTGGAGCGAGAGACTGTATTGGGACCAGGCTAGCGTGCTGTTCCAAGTTGGATTGCTGGATCCGGAAGAGGTCCCGAAGGATTTCAAGGGCAAGGCTAAGGGTGGAGATGATGATGAAGATGACGAGGGAGGCCTTGAGATGCTGCCTGTTAGTGGGAGCGAGGCTGCGAGAAAGGTTATGGATGTTGAGAGTGAGGAGTTTAATGATATGATTGACGATTGGTAGGCGCTCTAGAGGATCATGGGAAGAGGAAGAGTGGAGACTTATCGAACCTTCTCTTCATATCTTCGTTTCTTATGCTTTGCCATTGTCCTTACTTATTTTTAAATCAACTTTGAAATGCATCAAGTACTCCCACGTGTCTATTTCGATTTTTAGTGCTTTCCGCAGTGACGTGAAGAAGTCTCAAGGCCTTCATAATATGCTACTAGGACATAATTGGAGCAATTCAACTTGCCAAAAAAAGTAGCCAGTCATCAAGTCCGCTCTTCTAGCAATTTGATAAAATCTGTCAAATGCTGCCCTCTTTTCTCATCTTTACCAGCTACATCTCTCTCCATCCGAAAAAATTCTGTCACATACGACCATCGGCGAAATTCAGCACTGGCTCTCGTTCGTTCGCCGCACGTTAAGTCTTCGACCGGCGGACTAGTAGTCAGGCGGGTGACCACTGGCGAATCCCCGCTGTTGTATGTTTTTGTCGATTGTTTTTGATCTCTGAAGAGGCGCNCGTTAAGTCTTCGACCGGCGGACTAGTAGTCAGGCGGGTGACCACTGGCGAATCCCCGCTGTTGTATGTTTTTTTGTTGCCATTGCACTTTTTTCTTTTTTTTAGAGGAGACTCAAAGGGGAAGGTATTGAATTCGGAGGCGTCGGGCCCGGTTCAAGGCGGCGTTCGTGCGTGGCTTCGAGAGCACCGACGAGAACTTTACTTCTGAATACGAATCAACCATCCATACTCAGTCTAGAAAATGATTGAAATTAACGTTTTAGCTGCAAAAGGCCCCAATTTCTAAAATGAATGTGATCTAATCGCGCCGTCTAAGTACAAAAGAAAACTCTAAACAAACTCAATGGTGTGATGGTATAGGTACAAGCGCACACCAAGCCGCGCCGAAGCTGCCATATTTATCATTGTCAATCCAACCACCACGTTCAGTTCCACGCGATGACTTCAGTAAAGTTCTTCTGCTCAACCCTTCCATCCGGCTTCTGCAGCTGCTTGGCCTCGGCATTAAAGCAAAGGCCCGTAACACCCGTGTCGCAAACAGGCACCGTCTCACGAGTCTCCATGTTGCAATAGATGCCTTCGAACAGAGAGACAAAGTCCGGGCCGCGTGAAGTGTTGCTAGCACAGAGCTCAGTTGCGTTGTGGCCAGGCTCGGAACTAATGACGAGTCTGGGGTCCACGTGCGTGGGTTCGTCGGCGGCATCGCGTTTGAAGATGGATCCGCCTTCGGGCGTGTAGGCGCGGAAGGCAGGGTAGCGGCAGTAATCGGCTGGGCGGGAGCCTTGGGTTCTCTTGTTGGTGAAGTCGATCCAGTGGATCATTAGCATGCCGGCTTTGAAGTCGTTGGTGTGGTCGTTGTCGATCCAGGTGCATCTGGGTTTGCTGTGTTGGTCAAAAGTTAGTGGTCTGATGGCTTCGTCGTTGTCTCTGAGTGGTGGGTGCTTACTAGCTGCCATCAACCTAGGCTACTTGTTAGTATGCGGAAAGAAGAAATGGCGTCGGGGACTTGGTGGGGGGAAGAGAGACTTACTACGACGTTACCGTAGTACCAGTTCAACCCGCAGAAGGCGCCCCAATCGCCGACCCAACCGTACTTTGCGCCATCTACAAAGGTAGTAGTGGCATATGGGATGCAGATTGCGTCGTTAGTGGCTTGGATCTGGACAAACATAGCTTGCTGGTTGTTAGATTGTTGAACGCCAAAGTCAGCGAAGCCGCCACTGCCAATATAGCCGCCGCCTCGAGAACCGATAAGTTGTTGGTTCTCGTTGTAAATCCGGACTGCTTGGATGGTTCCGTCGGCACCGCTGAGCTCGGGACCGTTCAAGGCTGCTGCAATGCGGACATTGCAGACATTTGGGTTGGGGTTTTGAAAGGAGGAAGCAAAGAAGCCAAAGACGCCGAGGACGTTGGCTACTACACCGAGGACTTGGGCCATTGATAATGAAGAAGTTTGAGTTAAGTAGTTGCTGGTGATTAGATTGCGTTTGATGGTTGATGCTGTGGAATGAACTGGAATGAAGTGGCACTGTTGACCTTATATAGATGTTGGACAAGAGCAATCGAGTTATCTACATGCATCAAAAGCTGAAGCTCCTGGGCTATGTCAATCTCACTTCTTGATACATTCTACATTAAGATCTTGTTGACAAAGTTCCGTTCTATGTTTACACTTTCATGGGTCGTCATGACAAACATGTTGTGCCTGTTAATCTAACAGTCAGACTCTCCATGTCAATAACACAACCAAGTCATCATGAAAAGCTGTCATCCTGCAGTTCAAGAAGCCACCAAAGCACAATGCTCACCTCGCTAGCCGATGTTGTCACAAAAAGACATTTGGAAGTTTTTTCAGCCGCACAGTATGACACTGCCTCTACAAGTCACAGGGACCAAGTCGAACTGAAGTTTGTTCTTGGCTGCATATTTAATAAGCATTTAGCTCTCGTTAGTTGTGATGAAAATCATATTGATGTAAGACACGAGGTCATGTAATCCAAGTCTTGGCCTTGGCTCTTGTAATACCCCTGTCTTTGCAACTTTGTCAGCGTCAGGACAAACTGATGCCATTTTAAGCAAGTTTTTGATCTTGTTGAAATATATCTTGGCAAATGCCAGAGATTAGTATACAAAAGATGGTTGATGCGACTGCGAAAAGAAAAGCTTGTAATTATACGCAGAATCGTTGTCGCTCACGACATGTTTGACCTTACCTTGTTGCGCACTATTCACCACTATTTTGCTCACAAATCTTTTATTGTTTCGATTGGTAGATGATTGGAAATTGTAATGAAACTTCTTATGCTATTGTAGCGACTGTGAATGTTTAGGAAATCTGGCGTGAAGTTGAAAATGCTACTCGTGACACAAGAGTCAATATTTGTATGACAAGTGAGATTCGAGTAGCGATTCTTTTTCAATGTGCATTTTCGGTCATCAAACAAGGAGTCGTCGTACTCAAGTGGGATGCGTGTCATATTAGGGATCGATAATTATCATCCATTGCATTGTTATGCGAACCCCCTGACTGGTGTAGAGGTTAAAAGTTCCTACTTACACCGCAAACTATACGAAAGAGAAACAGAGCTAAATCATTATCAACGGAAACTAGTAAACCACAAGCTTCCTAATGGAAATATGTAATTCATGTAACCATAGAAATGACCTTATTCCAATACTTGATACGGGACTGTCCAGCAGCGTAGATAGTAGGAAAGAAACTCAGTTTGGTATATAATGGGTCTAGTTAATGAGAGCAAACAGGAATCGCAAAATCCAACAAATAACCAAGACAACGTAAAGCTCGTCCCAAAGGTTCCGAAATAAAAAACGAAAAGATTTGGGACATGTCATTCGAGTTCATTCATGTTGCGACATTGTATCAGTTTCGACTTTCGGTGGCGACGGGGAAAGTGATCGTGGGCGCTGTGATGTGCTAGCGCGAGCGCCAGCACGCTCGGCTTCTTCACCGATTTGGAGTTGATCTCGTGAAGTAGTTGGCTCCGTACCGTAGAAAGAGGATGCATGGTTCAATGAATTGCGGGATAAGCGATTGTAAGCATGGCTTCTGGCAGCAATGCTTCGAACAGCACCTCCGGTTGCGGTCGAGTCAATGGATCTCCGAGCCTCAGCTCTGTTTCGCTGAATTTGTGACCAGTCATGAACAACGTTGTCAATGGAAAGAGGGCGGGCTGGCAGTGATCTGCGATGATCTCGGTGCAGAGTCTCGACGAGGATATGACGTGGTACAGAGGAGATGCTCACACCGTCAACAAGGGTATCGGCTTCCGAAAGGTGTGTTTCACTCATGCTTAGCGGGCGACCGTTGAGCGTATGATCACTTGCCCTGCGAAAGTCGTTATCCTCATAGGAGGGAAATCCGCCCCCCATGAATGCCAGGATGGAATGGCGCCGAGGGGAGTGGCCATCTAGCCAATGTAGATATTCTCCGGGCTCAGTGATACCATCAGTATCGTTCATGCCAGGAGGTCCTACATGAGCCGTGACACCAGAAAAACGAGTTTTGAATTCAGTGAGTTGCTTACGACCCCATGAAATTCGCTTTTGGGGAGGCAAAGCCCGCAAAGCCTGAGGGTCCAAGGTTTTCAATGAAGCCAGCGCATCCGCAGCAGTGGTTGACGAGGTGAATATATCAAGTGCAGCCAAATCAAAGTTGGTGTCGATATCCTCGGGTGATTCCGCGTGTTCCTCACGAGAGGATGGCGCTATTTCAATTGGAGGAGAAGCGCTGATCGGTGCGCATGCCAGATCCTGATGATGGCCTTCGTACTTTGAGCTCTCTTTCCTCGAAAACCATTTATCCAGGTTAAAGGGGATGTTTCGCGACTTGAAGAATCTTGCTCTGACTTTTTTCTTGATGTCGGAAAGTATGTGCCGGCCCTCGGCTAAAGGATTCTTATTGTGCTTGTATCCACCGATACTATGGACTGTTTTCTGCAATGGATTGTCGTCAAAGGTTGTTGTAGGCATTCGGGAACTTCTGCCTGACCTGGAACGGATTGAAGTCTCCCTTGATGGACCGGCCGATTTCACTTCTGGAATGACTGTGAGGACAGGAGAGAGCACCGCGATTGGAGTAGAAGCCCGTATCATATGAATCAAAGTCGTTCGGAACTCAGTTTCAATGGGATCTGGTTCTAGACTCATGGTAGACAGAAGGGATAGTCGCGTGGCGTTGGCGTTTCCAGAAGACAACAATAAGCGTTTGCACTTTTTGCAGTAGACATCGCGAACCTGGGTAGAATCATTCGAAATTCTGACATGTACCCGAAGCGATTTGTGGTAATGATGGCAACTTGGGCAGACACCACTGATTTCGAATGCCCAATTTCCATTGGGTGGCCTGAGTGCACTTCCGGTAGAAGAGTTTGTGTCCTGCCTAGCGAGTCCAGGCATAGGGGGTATCGCGTCTGAAGTACCAGTATCATGAGTGGTGTCGAAAGACGTATTTGCAGGAGGCAGATAGGCCACCGTTGGAGTACCAAGCCCAATGGACATAATGGCTAAGCAGTGTGTCCGCTTCCGTGACTAAAGTATGCAGAACAGACTTTCGATGAATGCATGAGTTGATCCAGCCAGAAATAAAACAGTAGTAAAATCCTGGTTTGCCAACAACGAAGGGCTTTAGGTTGAGATAAATGTATGTCCAAAAACAAAGCCAGTAAAAAACAGAATAAGTAGTCAAAGGGCAAAGCGAGACGGTCAAATAGCTGCGGGAACCGGTTCGGTGGGTGTTCTGAAGAATTTAAGAAGTAGTTTGGCATACCCTGCACCCACCATTATCGATGGTCTTGCCTACATTCAGGCGCAGGACGCCTCGATGGTGAATTGTTGGGGCTAAACGTGTGGCGCAGTCGCATGGGTGTAAGCTCCAATTCGCAGAGATTGGCAGGGGCCGAAGCCACACATGACACAATGAGGAAAGAGCATTTGAATAATGCTTTTGAATTTATGACCAAAAGAAATTCCCGAGATCGATGACTGAGGTCAGAAGGACAGGTTTATCAAGTACGGCCGGGCAAGTAAAGCGGGATGGCAAGCCATGTCTTGCGGACGGAGAAGAGTGAGTTGGGGGCCACGAACTGGAAGTAGTACAGACTACACCACATGAGAGGCGCTTGTCGCGCGACAGCGGGATGTGGCTGGTGAATGTCAGCCTGGCTATGCAGGCAACAATATTGAACATGACGTGAATTCGCTCACATGGTTGGTCTTGTGCCTTGTTTTACTGTTTTTTGTTGTAAGTTGAGATGGATCAAATGCTGGGAGCGCATTGCTAGGCAGCACCTTCAGGTCGTTTTGCACAGCCCACCACTGAATTGAACAAGTAACAGAGCAAGAAAGAGCGGTGAGGTGATATTCTGGACGGAAGGTCACAGAAAATATTGTTTAGTTCATACAACTGGAACGATGCGGCAACAGATTTAAGTGGCTCTCAAAGTGTGGTCCAACATAAGGGCCTACATGTAATAACTGGAGCGATGGTGTCGAAGGCGCTAGTATCGGAATGGGGCTAGCTTAGCGCACGTGCCGTCGTCTTGGCTCCCACTCGCTTGCTGGTGAATTTGATGATTTTCGATAACCCACTCGACAGAGCATCGACAACACCACATCGACGTACGACAAGCCGCCATCATGTGTGAGTACGCCCTGGCTACTTGAAAGCCCCTTGCTCATTGCGACTATACTCGTGTGTCGAGCGAAAACCATTCCGCTCGCGCAGAGGGCAGGGTCGCAGTGCTGAAGGACCCGACACGCATAGTACAGACATGCTGACAATCGCACAGCGCTCGTCTCCGGAGAGAAGTCTAAGTATGTCAAGACACCAACCTAAGAGTTCACGCATCGTTCGTCGCTTTCGTCTTGTCGCAATGCCCGCTTCGATCTCAGCTACTCGTTATGTCAATCCGCCTCCCTAGTTCAACAGCGTGCAAGAGCCAGTGAGAAGAGCAATGGTGGACGCTCGTGTGCAAGGTGTTCAATAGGATAGTAGGGATCTGGCTAGAAGAATTGGACAAAACTGGACATGCTAGTTGGACTGGACAGGCGGATTGCGATAGCTGGTGGCTGTGAGAATGGAATTGCGCACACGCACACGGGCAATGTCGATTTTGACTCGTTCTCGCATAGTTAGAGCAATGCTGACTTGCACAGCTTCCAATACATCATCCGTTTGTTGAACACGAACGTCGATGGCAAGCAGAAGGTCATGTACGCCTTGACCAAGATCACTGGTGTCGGTCGCCGTTACTCCAACTTGGTCTGCAAGAAGGCCGATGTCGATCTCACCAAGCGCGCCGGTGACCTCACCTCCGAAGAGCTTGAGCGCATCGTCACCATCATCCAGAACCCACTCCAGTGTACGCAGCGGCCGATGTTATCTCCATTGCACTATCACTGACACACACATAGACAAGATTCCTTCCTGGTTCCTCAACAGGCAGCGCGATATCGTCGATGGCAAGAACAGCCAGATCCTCGCCAACGGTGTTGCCTCCAAGCTCCGTGAAGATCTTGAGCGCCTGAAGAAGATCCGTGCTCACCGTGGTCTCCGTCACTACTGGGGTCTCCGTGTCCGTGGTCAGCACTCCAAGACCACCGGTCGCCGCGGCCGAACCGTCGGTGTCTCCAAGAAGAAGGGATAAATGTTTTCGCTTGCGCTGGGCAGCTGGGGCTGGGACATGCCTTTACGAAATGGGTGGTGCACTTACGGTGTTTATCAAACGGCTTTCATTGGCTTTCACGTTTACACTTCATGCGGCAATGCACGATATGGGGTGAAATGATGCGCCACGGTTAGGGTTGGCCGAATACAGCCTGTACCAAAATCACACATTCAAATTTCGACTTGTTCCAACGAATGACTTGACGTTTTTTACTACCGACAGATTCAATGCTTTTCTGCATCACGATGGTTGCTTTGCGGCGCTCGGCCCGCTTACTTGTTGACAAATGAAGACTATCGTCGGCAGTGCAGCCATACTATGTCCACCACGTCACACAACACTTATGCTTATCAAGTCCATCGTGGTGCATCGCTGTCCTCCAAGAATGGGTCTTTTTTTAAAAAAAAATCAAGGAAGGAGTCGCGACAATGCGTTGCTCGTATGCAGACTTGTTACTCCACTATATGATGAAATGTGGTCGCGAGCTACTAATAAGATATCGACAGCATTGCGAACAGCATTACCATAGCGGGTACACTTGAAACAAAGAAGCAGTAAATCCTAGGCTCGTGATACATGTCTCGATCCCTGTACCTTGGTGTTCATCGATTCATGGCCATTGGAGGACTAACCGCCAAGTGTGGAGTGCGCTGTCTCCAATGCATGGTGCACCAACCCGTCGCAGCTCTCGGCTTACGCAGTGTTATGATATTCCACCCACTAACACCATCCCTCCCCCCGCCATGTGCGCCTCGTCCGAAAAACGGTCCTCTGAAGCACCGCAGCCTCGTCTTGTTACAAACGTCGTGGCGTGGTCACAGATTCGCGGTGCAGGGCCAGCGAGCCGGGTGGGTGCGCATGCACGAGGGAACTATGATTGATATAAGCCTTAGTGAGGGATGAGCAGCCTACGTTTATAGTTTATATACCTATGGTCCTTTCAGTACTTTGTTTTTTCTATGGTTGCCACATAGACGGTTTTTCGCGCCCTAGCCGCTACAATATGGCGACTCTTGCCGTTGCACCGCAGACCCCCTCCTCCCCGAAAGTGCGGATACGATCTCAGTCATTCGACTCGCCATTTCTCCGCATCAGCGTCACGCCCGTCGAAGAATCATCGTTTTCAAAGTCGACCGGGGCACTGGAGACACTGGCAGGCTACGATGACATGGAAGAGAGCGTTGCAGCGGGAGTGTTCAGGTCTGCGAGTACGCTACCTCTACTGAAGACCAAGATGAGCGACGAGTCGATGCTGTCAGAAGCATCGAGTGCCGGCTCTTCGTCCGTCACCACATCTCCGACCAGCACGGAGAGCAGCATGGAACTCGACGACGAAGACGAGTCAATTGCGTCGGATGAAGAAGACGAAGAAGAAGAACAACAGCAAGAACAACAGCATCAGCGACCCCATCCTTTGACATTCGCTCAGAGCACTACCACCACCAGCACAACTACCTCAGACAAGGACAAGGACACGGCGCCGAGCCCGCTGTCCCCCTTTCTGTACCAAGATACCAGCTGTCCCATGTACTCACCGTGGCTCGTCTGCGCCGTCCTCGACATGCACGACGTGCACCGGCTGGACTGGACGTCAATTGCGGACCCAATTGAACGGGTGTGGGGCGTACGGACTAGCAGCGCCGATGTACTCGGTATCTTGAGTGACAACGGGCGGGTGATGCGGCGACGCTGGTGGGACTGACAGAGAGCTGATTTAGTTCTGGTACACTTGTCCTCTTTTTTCCCTTTTGGTTATTCTTCCTCTTCTTCTTTTTTGTTTTACGTCACTGATTGTCACTTTCTTTTCATTTGTTACGATTTTACGTTTGCATGGGGTTAGGTTATGGCTTTTCTTTCCCTTTTGTCTTTCTCTCTCTTTCTTTTGTTTTTGTATGCGTTTGTTCTGGGTTGGGAACGGTAGTTACGACGTTATGACACATCTTGTGATACAATATGCAGAGTTGAAGTGTAAGGGAGATAAAAAAGGTTAGAGGAGGGGGGGTTTAGGGGGGTATTGCGTTAGGGTTGCAGACTGTGGAGTTGGATTTAGGGATAGCATTTATGGGATTCTTTTGCAACAAGAATATTGAGCATGCAATTTGTTCAAATTGATGATACGCATCTGACCACTTCACCTGGAGTACATGGGATGGTTTGGGAAAAGGGGATGAATAGAATATTCACTCTCAGCCCCCACACTGTCTGTCTGCGTGGGGGATGACAAGCTGAGTAGCATGCAGGATGGAGGGGGTGAGGAACAGTTGTCCCACGGCGAGTGGTTTCTTGGCCACATGCAATCAATCCTGGTTGCGGGTATTACTGCATTAGTTCGGGATGAGAGGGTGGTCAAACGGAGACCCGTCTGTTGTACAGAATGTACCAATCGTGGGGGCACATGGCGTTATGCGAGGATGCAGCAATGCAGAAAACATGTGATAGAGCAATTGTATGTATATTGGAATTGCGCTGTTATGGAGGATATAACCAATGACTGAATTTCAGTCATCCAAGCCATCGCTTTCCCATCATACAAACTTTCGATACGCAAGGGCTAGAACAGCATGTGAAAGAGTCACGTGCACACAGCGCGGTGCTTGCCGCTGTGTCGCAAAGGCCCGACTGCGGCAGAACCGTGCACGGAAGCTGTGTATGGTTCGGAGCATGTGCTCGGATGACCATGTTGCAGAGTGAGGCAAGCAAAAGGAGCGGTGGAGTATGTTTGCCATGTTGCCCTTGCAGACCGTATAAGTCCATGCATTTTACTCCAGAGGCACCACGCGAAAGGGCCCACCGTCCCTTACGCAGGCTATTTCCTCTTCTGGCAGTGGAACACCCGCACGTGAGAGCGAGAGCAACACGCGACGCGTACTGAAAAGACGTGTCTCCACTCGCTCGATCAATCATCAGCACCAACCGCCATTTCGAGCACTTCGACGTTGCCCCTTCCTTTTGTTTGGCCCTCGATCAGCTCGTTAAGACCCTTGAACGCACCGGGCTCGATGAGGCCCACTGCTTCCCATTCTGCGCCTACGGTGTCTTGGCTCTCGACCTTTTCCATGAGGCCGAGTATGGCATCCTTGACGGTGCCTACTGTGCCCTTGTCTTCGGCACCCGCTTGGGCCTTTGGCGCAGTCTTGATGCTCTGCTTGAGGACAGAGGTTGGACACGTAATGCGCAGCTTCATCTGCATGCGTGCGACGGGTATTGGCTGATGAGCGATGAGCGCCTTCATGGCAAACAGGGCTTGCGATTTGGCTGACTTGTTGGTGACGACGCCAGTCCACTTTGGTAGCTCCTTCGCCTTTGCCTTTTCGTCACCGTCTTCCTTGGCCTCGCCCTTTTCCTTTTCACTCTGCTGCGACGCTGCAGCCGAACTCAGCTGATCCAGCGCCTTCTCAATCATGCCTGTCGTGTACACGCGCTTCGTCTTGGGATCCACCAGCTTTCCGGACACGATGTCGATGACCTCATTCTTGGTCCTCTCGAGCTCGGCATTGCGCTCCTTCTCGCCCACTTGCAGCTCGCCATGGTCGAGTATATCTATGATGATTTCCTCGAGCGACTTGTTGGGAAAGGCTTTTTCGAGATCGGTCTTGGGGGCGACTTGGCCCTTGGAGACGTTGAGGAAGACGTTTTCGATTTGCAGGACGTTGGAAAGATCCTTTTCGACCTTGTTGCGCCACTCGAGGACTTTGTTCTTGTAGCATGCGATTTCGAAGCGCTTCTTGCCTGGGGCGTGTCAGTGGAATGCAGAATAGGCAGAGGGGGCTTGGCGGGGTCTTCGCACCCTTCTTCATGCGCACCAGCGACACGTTGGTCAGCTTGATCTGGTTGGACGGTTTGATGATGCCGACCGGCATGTTGGCGATCTATGGGGGCGCTGTGGGGGGTAGTTGTGGTCGAGGTGCTGGTGCCGGGCGCGCGGTATAAAAGTTGGATGGCATTTTTGGTGGGGGCATGGCGCTCAGCGGATGACATAGCCCCCAGCCGGTTCACTCAGAATGATTCAAAGGACGCTAGGCCCGATCGGGCACATGCAGGTCCCGCGGCGCTCTGCTGCAGTCGCACGCCTAGTAGAGCTCTCTAGCTGCTCCAGCGGCCAGGCGCCGGCGCTGCGCAGAGAACGCGCCCTCCAACACGTGCAGCAGAACAGACGGTGACGGTCGTGTTCCTGACGTGTCTGCCAGGGCCCTCTGTCGTCCCGTCCTCACACATGGGCCGGTCAGTTATCGTGAAACGCTAAGCCCATGTGATGCTCGAGCTTGGACGCGCCAGCCTCTCTGATAAGCTTCGGGGGTGCGCGTCATGCTTCCGTTGCCTGGACAGGCGGCTCCTCCGCACGAGCTATCCCACACCTCCTCCATCTCACCTCCTCCTTCTTAACCCTCCCTCACCCTCTCTCTCTCCACATTCCATCCCCCTCTCCCCCAATCCATCATCAGCTGCTTCTTCCGTCACTGGTAGAAGCTCTTCCTGTTCTTCAATCACATATAGCTGCGGCTCTGGAAGCTTAGCACACCCGCCACCATGAAGGTAGCCACCTCGGCGCTGCTCGTTGGAGCGGCCGCTGCTGTTGCGCCCCAGCAGCAGCAGGTCCTCAAGTTCCCCAGCTCCTTCAGCGAGCTCAAGGAGTCTTCGTGGGCCAAGGGCATGCACAGCCTCGAGGATAGCCTCAAATCGCTCACTGGCGAGGCGCGCGCAATCTGGGACGAGGTTGCCATGATGTTCCCTGAGAGCTTCGAGAAGGCCGCCTTCTTCTCCCAGCCCAAGCCGCATACTCGCAAGCCTGACAGCGAGTGGGACCACATCATCAAGGGCGCCGACATCCAGAGCGTCTGGGTTGAGAACAAGGACGGCCAGAAGGAGCGCGAGATCGACGGCAGGCTCGAGCAATACAGCTTGAGGGCCAAGAAGGTCGACCCCAGCGTTCTCGGCGTCGACAAGGTCAAGCAGTACTCTGGCTACCTTGACGATGAGGAGGAGGACAAGCACCTGTTCTACTGTGAGTACCCCAATGAACATCCGCCATCGCCACTCCGTGTATCTAATGCATTACAGGGTTCTTTGAGTCGCGCAATGACCCCAAGAACGACCCCGTTGTCCTCTGGCTCAACGGCGGACCCGGCTGCTCCTCGCTGACCGGTCTGTTCATGGAGCTCGGTCCCGCGTCCATCACCAAGGACCAGAAGATCAAGAACAACCCATACTCGTGGAACAGCAACGCTTCCGTCATCTTCCTCGACCAGCCCGTCAACGTCGGATACTCATACTCGAGCGGCTCAGTTAGCAACACTGTTGCTGCTGGCAAGGACATCTACGCCCTGCTCACCCTCTTCTTTAAGCAGTTTCCCGAGTACTCGCACCAGAGCTTCCACATCTCTGGCGAGTCTTATGCTGGTCACTACATCCCCGTCTTTGCCTCCGAGATCCTTTCCCACAAGAAGCGCAACATCAACCTTCAGTCCGTTCTCATCGGTAACGGTCTGACCGATGGTCTTACTCAGTACGAGTACTACCGTCCTATGGCCTGCGGTGAGGGTGGCTGGCCTGCCGTTCTTGACGAGTCTCAGTGCAAGGCTATGGACAACGCCTACCCCCGCTGCGCCAGCCTCATTGAGAACTGCTACAACTCTGAGTCTGTCTGGTCCTGTGTTCCCGCTTCCATCTACTGTAACAACGCCATGATTGGTCCTTACCAGCGCACTGGCCAGAACGTCTACGACGTTCGCAAGCCATGCGGCAGCAACTCGCTCTGCTACGACGAGCTTGACTGGATTCAGGGCTACCTCAACAAGAAGGAAGTCATGAAGGCTGTCGGCGCTGAGGTCTCTGGCTATGAATCTTGCAATTTCGACATCAACCGCAACTTCTTGCTCCAGGGTGACTGGATGAAGCCCTTCCACCGCGTTGTTCCTGGCATCCTCGCCGAGATTCCCGTCCTCATCTACGCCGGTGATGCTGACTACATCTGCAACTGGCTCGGTAACAAGGCCTGGACTGAGGCTCTTGAGTGGCCCGGTGCTAAGGACTACAACAAGGCCGAGATGAAGGACTTCAAGATTGACGGTGACGGCAAGACTGTCGGCCAGGTCAAGTCCAGCGGTAACTTCACCTTCTTGAAGCTTCACGCTGGTGGTCACATGGTCCCCTACGACCAGCCCGAGGCTTCTCTCGAGATGCTCAACAGGTGGTTGGGTGGTGAGTTCTGGAAGTCATCCTAGGTGCTTCCATACGAAACAGGATACAGTATTAGGATGAAATTGTTATGATTAGATGTGGAAATACTCGCGAGCGGAATCATTCCCAATTTGCTTGTCGTTGTATCATACGAATTTGCATTTCGTAGTCACGTCCTTAATAAATGAAAGAAATAATCCAATTATGTGCCTCTATAATCCCAGGTGTACGCCAAACAGCTAAGCCTATGTGGTTACTACTCAGCAATGAAAACATGCCACCCTATGGTCCATCGCGAATACCAGCACAACGTAATGCACGGACCTTGGTGGTAAACAATCTCAACTTTACTACTACACACATCGCATACCATCATCTCTACTCTATCTACGGCCTGTCTGTACCCGTAACGCCCCTCAAATATTGCGATTCTCTGATATAAACGCCGCCATTCTCCCTATTATCTCAGTTTCGATACTTGTAGTCTAACTTCATCTGAGGGAATGCACCGAACCGCATTGTACCAAGCCCCTATGGGACCTGACGATACGACCTTATGCAATGCTCCCCCGCACGGCTTGTAGTCGCTCGGCAGTTTTTTCTTTGTATACAAGTAGCTTGTGTCTAAAAATACACGAGCTGTAGGAACTAACTATCCTCATGGCCACGTGCAGTACCCCACCTCTGAGAAGAGGACGGCTCGGCTCAAGTCAAGGGGTTGCAGCGATTGAGCGCATGGTGGCATTTTTGGGCGCCTCCCAGCCATAGAAGGCTGCAACAGAAAGCCGTGGCTGGGCAGATACTGACAATAAATAGCTAGACCGACGGCTGCCTCGTCAATTCAAGTCCAGCCGCACCTTGGCGCCAACACACGATGAATTAAATAATGAACTTGATTTGCTCTGCTGTACAGCCATTTTGTGTTAAGAAATGACGTTCTAGCAATGAATAACACGAGAAATATTTCTTCTGGATCTTAAAGTCAATCCTGCATATAACTTCAATGGACATTAAACCGCTGTCCGCCTCAAGCGGCAAACAAGTCAGGTATCCGAGTCGAATTCGTCAGTGGATAGAAGCATGCAACTCATCACATGGCGATATCTGCGTCCCAAAGCCGATACCACAGCAACCCCAAAACGATGTGCCTCAATGGCTCATCGATACTCACGACCAGTGCATTGTACCCGGAGCCTCCGCGAATCATTACTTGGCTCTAAGCTATACCTGGCCAGAAACCCGCGACTCATCTACTCCAGCACCACGCAGTTTACTCCTTGACGCTGCGAGCATAGCAGACCTCCAAACACCTGGATGCTTTTCCAGCTCCGCTATCGCAGAACTCCTACCGGGAGTGATCAGACATGCTATGAGCGTAACGGCTGCATTAGGCGAACGATATCTCTGGGTCGACCGACTTTGCATTGTGCAAAACGATGCAGGGACACTCGATCAAGTCACAAGGATGGATAAGATATACGCAGGAGCGTATCTCACCATCATTGCTGCAGCGCCGGATGCCATGTACCAAAGCGATCAGTTGTCAGAATGGCCTCGCTTTGACCATTTATTCGAAGAGTCAGATTCTTCTGACCTTGACGAAGATAGAGTCATGAGAGCTATGGACTATCGATATCAGAATTTGAGAGATTCTCGGTGGGCAACAAGAGGATGGACGTTCCAAGAGCAGATACTTTGTAAAAGGGCCGTTGTATTTACCGAGAAAGGAATCTTTTGGGATTGCCAGTGTTGCTTGTGGGATGGCGCGGATCTTAAGCCAGGTCAGGACCATGAAGCCATCTCAGTCTCCACGGACATGGGCAAGCGATTTGCGACCCGATGGTGGCCCGATTTCAGCTTCTACGTTGATCTAATCTGTCCGTACAATGGCCGAGAGTTTTCTTATCCCCAAGATGCATTACTAGGCTTTTCGGGTGTCTTGAGCGCCTTGTCGCGATCGTTTCCTGGAAATTTTATATCGGGCATACCGAGCATGTTTCTCGACCATATTCTGCTATGGCAGCCATTTGAAACTGCAGAACGGCGCGTAGATCGAGGCAACTCATCAAGCACATCCGTAGGCGTGTCAAGCCTTCCATCATGGGCATGGTGCGGATGGCAGTGTTTCGTGGATCCAATGAGTCTTCGCTCTGGCCTAGCCTACATGAACGAGGATCAAATGCGAAATCGAGCCCTGAGCTGGCAAACACAAAACTTGATAGAGTGGCGTGCATCTAACGATCTACTACAGTCTGAACTAATGTCGGATCCGCCCAATCTTGGGGGGCATGTCAAGCTCTCAGGTTCATCTGACGCACTTCCAGAGGAGTGGGAATCCCACCACGAACTCGGCACGGAAGCCCCGAGTTATAGCCATGCAACAGATCGAAAGCTATTCTTCAGACACCCCATACCGCTATCGCTCGATGCCTCACGGCAACCCGAACTCTGCACAACATCCTACCTAACCTTCGAAACCACCTCCGCCATGTTCCTCCCGGCTACGATCCTACGACCCCTCCGGTCCCAAGAAATGGTGAGCTGGTAAGAGTTCCATGTACGAACTGCATGCGATATTTAACACTGACTTCGTGCCTACGAATCTACCAGGGGCGATGTCAAAGTCTCCGTCTTCGAAGACCGCATGTTTGCCCTCGGCCCCCGCGACAAAAAAGTCCCCCCCGTCATCGTCCTCCAACAGCCAAACGGCATGTTCGCTGGCCTCATCCGCCACATGAACAACGACCGCATCAACCCCAACCTCCCCATCGAACTCGTCGCCATATCAACCGGCAGCGCCAACGCGCGGGACCTCGAATCCTCACTTGAATGGAATGTCTTCGCCGACCTAGAACTCTACTACACATACGGTAGTGTCTGTAGAATCATACCGTTTGCCTCTCCACCCATTACCGAGCAGCAGAAACGCGCACTGCTGTTTGATACGTCAATGGCGTTTAGTAAGGAAGCAGCGAAAGATGATAGTAACAGTGCTCTCGTCCCGGAACTTAGTGCTACAGAGAATGAAATTAACAGTCAGGAAAAGTTGGAGATGGAAAGGCATGAAGAGGGGCTGCTAAAGATCAGTGCGACGCAAGCGTATCGGACGCGGTTTGAGCAGAAGATTTGGTTCAATGTTCGGAAGAAGGTGCTTAGAGAGCGGAGGCAGGGGAAGAGCGTGGGCGAGGACGCACCGCCAGGTGCGGTGTGTCAGTTCTATAATGTGCTTTGGATTCAGCGCAAGGAGGGGGTTGCGTATAGAGTGGCGTGTGGCTGGGTGCCGAAGTATGTGTGGGAGGCACATGCTAAGGGGCCTGTGAAGGTTGTGTTGGGTTGAGTTCTTGTTGTATGCTGCTCGAGAGAATGATACATTACCGAATCCATAAAAAAAATTGCTCACAACAAAGAGTCTTGTGATGATTTCTCAAATGTTACATTGTTTTATAAGACAGTGCCAAAGACATGACACACGTCTTAGTCCCTTTTTTTTTATCTAAATCTTCCCTGTCTGCCAGATGTGTACATTGTATGATCTAGCGTGAGAACGCCAAAGGGGCAGCAAGATTTCCTTCCCAGTACAGATACACGAAGCAAGCGCATTTCCGTCGTGCAAGATTGCTGCAAAACACCCCACCATCCAAAAGAAAATGTCGAAGCAATCAAGGTAGCGCAGTGGCGACCAAGAAGCAAGAAGTGAAAAAGAAGGCAGCGTCCAGAAAGCGTGATGAACGAGTGAAAAAAGAAGAAGAAAGAAGGATATGTACGCAGAAGAAAAACAACAACAACCAACCAACCAACTACCACTCAATGACCTAACCATACATATCACAAGTCATAGTCTTAATCTCATACTCACTCTCGCCCTCAACAACACCACAGGAGACATCCCAGCCAAGCTCAAACTTGTCGCTCTCAGGCATGCGGTCTTTGGCGCCCGCAGCACAGTGAGCATCGATGGTATAGTACGAAGTCTCCATGGCAGGGGCAGAGTTCCAGTCGCAGGCGTCGGTGCGCTTGTAGAAGGTACGGCGGTGCAGACGCAGGGCCTTGCGTTCGATGCTCTTTTCGGGCGAGTCGCAGAAGCAGCGGGCGGCGAGGGTGAGGGCGTCGCGGGTGCAGTCGCAGCGGGAGCCGTCGACTTGGTAGCGGCGCGTGTTGGGCTTGACGGCTGGGTGGGCGCGGCCCCAGTTGCGCGAGGAGGAGTCCGGGGCAGCGGTTTCGGCGGTTTCGTACTTGTAGATTGTGGTTGCGACTACGGTGGTTACGGTGACGACATTGCCGTTGTTGTTGTTGCTGTTGTCGCCAGCTGGTTCCTTCTCGTAGCTGGGTGGCTGAGTTGTCTCGGGCTGTGGTGTCTCAGGCTGAGGTGTCTCCTTGGGTGAAGTGGCAGAGTATGCTGGCTCCTCAGGCTGAGATGCTGATTGGGAGGGCTTGCTAGGCTCAGTGCTGTTGCCTGATCCCCCACCGCCAATGTGCACCTTGCTGCAGGACTCAAAGCTCTCATGCTCACGGTTCAGCCAGATCCAGACAAACAGAGCATCGCCCTCAGGCATGTTGGTAGGGACCTTGAAGTCGAAGGTCTGGGCCTCGGGTGAACCATCTTCGGTAGCATGCGGGCAAGCACCGTGGTATGATGCAGCCAATTTCCAGCTCTTGCCCTTGTCAGTGGAAAATCCGACCTGGCAGGATCCACCATAGTGAGTACCACCGGGAGCGGCTTTGTCATAGTCGAAACTGGTAAGCTGGAAGTAGGCATCTTGGCCAGACTGCCAGGTGACAGACGCCTTCTCAGTATCGAACTTGTCAAGGTGACCACGGCAGGGTCCTGGAGAAGGCTTGCTGTCACCTCCATCGGGGCCGCAGCATCCAAGCGGGAAGTTGAACTCGGGGTCGATTTCGGTTGACTGAGGGTTGATGGATGGCGCTCCACCTAGTGGGGGAGGGTAGTACAAGCTCATGTGAGCCTGGGCAGCGCCAACTAGGGCGAGCACAGACAGAGTTTTCATATACATGATGTGTGTATAGTGCGTTTTTTCTTTCGTAGAGACTGTGGTTGTTATGAATGCAAGGAAGGATTGGAAGTTGCAAAGTAGAGTCAGAGCTGAAAAGGACAGTGTGATGATGGTGCTGTCTCTGTGAAGAATGTGTTTCTCGACAGCAACAAAGAGGCTCAAAGAAGAAAGGCGGTCCGGCGCTTTCGAACAACAAAGTGAGTGAATGTAGAATGAATGTGGACGAAGACTAGCTTGTCACGAGTGAATGTGTATCTATCACTGGGATTGATGCCCTCTTTCACAAGGGCAGGCAGGCAGCTTTTAAATGACCTCCTGGCGACTGGACCATAGTTGTCGATGGGTCCCGTATAACACATCTTAGCACGCCCAGTCTCGGCGGCTGAAGAAGGGTTGTGCTCGCAGCATGCTAGTAGCCTCTGCCCAAGAGTGGAGCGTAGATGTAGTAGTATACGGGCCCCTGACTATGCGACGAGCCAATGGCGAGAGCGAAACCAGGTGGCGCATCGGCGGAAGTGGACCTGTTTGGGAAAGGCAGCGAGACGCGAGAGCCTGTGGGTCTCGAGTGAAGGACTCGCTGCCCGGGTCCGCGATGGAGGTTCTGCTGTTCGTGGCTGACCGAGTCCGCATCTTGTTTCACGCTCTCCCGTTTTTGGCGTAGCAGGGGCGCTTGTCCCTGGCGAAGGATCACTTCGTCAAATACCACGCCCACCGTTTTGCGCAATGATTAGCACGCGACCAGGAAGACTGACAGCAGATTCGTTTCATGAACAGACCGTTTACGTTTCTTCGGCTATAATACCAATCGTGCGTAGGCATGTGAGTGATATGGCGCCAGTGGCTGCCAGGCCCCTACGTATCGATAAGGCACACATCGCTTACTCTCGCCACGTGCTTGTGATCGACCTCGTCTGTCCATTACCTGTGAATTGGTTTTTAGGTTATTTGTACTCCACTTCCTTTGAGCATGTAGCAACTACCACCCGATTAACCGCCCTCTCGTATTTCTTCTGCAGGACAATGTGTCTGTGAACAATCTAGTTGATGCCGTCGGCTGCGCTACCTTCTGCAGGTGCTCCGTCCGGGTGTAGCCTATCGCCACTGCCAACAGCCTGGTGTCGTCGTTTGTGCAAGTTGCAGGCTGCAGGGGGTGCCTGATGATCTCTTTCAAGACACCCGTCCGGGACTAACAACTAGTCAGGGCCTCGTTACGCGGGGCTCGGATTCCGGCAACGTAGCGGCATCTGGAGGCGAAGTCCCGATACACAACCAAGAACGACCAAGAACGCCCATAGGATCCTTTACCAAGCACTGTACATGTTGCACAGCAGTACTCGTGATACTGCTTACTCGGCTTTTGTAGCCGTATTGCTTTCACGCTGTGTACTCTTTTAGCAAAAACTGATACAGTAAGCTGAAGTATGCAGTCATGCACCACAAGTCCAGCTGAAATTGGTTTCCAACGCACATCCCTGTGCCCCTAGAATCACCATTCCCATCTCCAAGGCAATCTCTCATGTCTCATGGGAATGACAGAGAAACAAAAATCATACATTACGGATGCCCCACATACTCTAGACCAGCCAATCAGAGGCACAGACAGGGCACATACGTATTCACAATGAAGCGCGCGTGCGCATACTTACATACACGAAAGCCAGTCCCGTCGATCATTTTACCCGCCTCATGTTTCAGCTCAACCTGACGTCCTCTACCTATTGGAGGAAATGCTATCGATACGGAAACATATCGCGGTCCGCCCAGTAGGAACGGCAAGCAAAGCTACCTAAGATCACATCTTTTTTATTCCGCGGACGATCATGTCACGGTGGTCATTTAAGGCCGGCTGTTTCGGAAAGCAGTCATTGTCGTTCTTTTTGTAACGCCCTTGAATTTGAATAAATGGCCAGTACCATGTCGCCAACAGCACCGCTCAGCATGCCACACTCACTGCTTGAGTCAAGCATTGCCTTCAGGTTCCGGGGGAGGGGCTCATGCTTTGGTGTAATAGTATCAATTCTCCTAGCTTCCTGCCCCCTTCGCACAACCCCAAGAATCTCTTCCTCCCTTGTAGAAAAAAAAAGACAAACATTTGATGTAGAAGGCCAGACGCACCATGCCAACATGCCTCATTTCTCTTTTCTCGACCCAAATTCCATGACATGTTCCATCCCAAGCCTCCACACTCCTCCTTCTACTTCACATCAAATCGCCGGTTCCCCTTGCCAACCCTTGGGGGCATTTACGGTGCGGTCCCCCATATGAGCTACTTTAATATAAACCGCATCAACGTTCTTGGTAGCACAGCTCTGCGTGGAATTGCCAGGGCACGGAACTTCACACCGCACCGGAGCGACCTTGACTGCCCATCTCTTCAGGCGATCGCCACATTGGCACCACTTTCCGGACACAGCATAGTAGTTGTATTTACGGCAGGTCCACGCACATTTCTCATGCACGTTGTCCCGGTAGTGCCTAAGTAAAGCGTAATAATTGCCGTGCAGGATAGTCTGCTTGGGATCGCTGTAGCACCCGGCGGCAGTGAAGGGTTGGCAGCTACGTGATTCCGGATGTGCCGTGTTGTTCTGACAGCCGAACGGGTACTCACCTGCGGTTTCGTTTTTTCGAGGTTAGCGGTGTATTGCACGAGTAGGGGCTACATATCATCTGTTTGGCTTACCGGTGCATTTATACCCACACTTGGTAGCTCTACGCAGCAGGGGCGCCGAGTCCGATTTAGAGTCGACGGCATAGACTGCAGTAAGCAGCCCGGAAGCAAGAAGAGCCAAAGAGATCTTCATGGTGGTTGTGCAAGTTGCTTGGTTTGAAGTCTGGCGGTTGTAGTGGCTGGAAGAGTGCAAGTCTTTGCGCGATGGATAAAACGTCTTCTAAAGCATGCTCTTTTCTATTACCATGTTGCTATCGGGCCGTGCTCATGCTGTAGAAAACTGTAAATGGATTTTACGCAGTCTAAAATTCTTCTTCGCCGCAGCCATGGTTGACGCAGTTATCGTATCCAATTGGTTATTGTACCCAATGGAGATTTGTCTATTTGACATATACCCGTTGAGAGGCTTTGGTAG